GGAGGGGTCGCTATGAGTTGGGGTCGACTCGACGGCACATAACAACATAGTTTACCACATTGGTAAAAATAGAAATCATAGCTTTTTGCAAGTAATGAATATGAACAGCCAGTTTTTGTTGTTGTTATTCTACTTGTCAGAATGGTTTAGGTAATTACATTAAGCCTAGTATTTATGATAAAATAGTAATAGTAGCAGTAATAATAAAAACAACAAAAATGAACATTTATTGAGCCGACATCACAAAGCTACTACTTGGAGAATCGAATAATGTATTTACGTGCCATTAGCTTAGACCCTGCACCCCTCCCCACACTGGTGTGGCTTTTAGCAGTTGTTCTGCATGTTTACTCAAGTCTTCTATGGTTTCTATTTTGCAGGTCACAATCTTTGCAGTGAACAAGGCATTAGTGCTGAGACTGCACCTGAAGAGACCGAAGGGCCAGACCTGGAGTCCTCTGATGAGACTGACCACAGCAGCAAGGTGAGAGATTTCATTTTCACTTCCTGCGTCTCCCAACCACCCACGAATCATAGCTCACACATCGCCTTTGCAGTGTATGTGGTTAGAAGGCCTCTCCAAGAGACGAAGTGGTTTTATGTCTGAGATGTTGCTAAATAGTATGATATGAAATCTAAATTACAGCCTGGGTATCAAGCCCATATGTGAGACTGTAGGGCAGAGATCAGTCTCAATGCATTGAAGTCTTTTTCCTTTCATTTCTGCCATTGCTGGAGCTACCCAGTCGATGCCATACTTTCATCCTATTTCCTCCTTACATCTTCATTTAGATCTGATGAGACAGCATCCAAAGTGTGTGTGGTTGAGTCAGCTATAAATTCTTGCTATTTATGATTTCTGTGATGAGCTACTTTTGAATGATCTGTGTTAGACTCTTGTTAAAGGTGAACATCTTTTACATTAAAGGGGGGAAGAAACATTCTCTTTATTCATCCAGATAGACTGCTCCTCAGTCATTTGAGCACTAGAAGAAGGTTCTTATTCTGAATCTTTGGTGCAAGAGATTAAAACCATTTCCCATGATCATCATGCTTTCATTCTGCTTCATGAAGAATTCCAAGGGTTGATAGCTTCTTCTATATTAATTTCTAAACAAACAAAATTTAAAACTGTTTGTTACTTACACTTTTCAAAAATCATCCCCCTAAAATAATCATGTGAGATTATACTTCTCTACTTAATAATCTTTTTATAATGTTGACATTTTAAATAAGTTGATTCCTCGATCTATCAGTAATTTGTGTTTTGACACTTAACTAGTTATTTAATCTTGAGCAAATTATATAACTTTTAATTATACCACTGTTTTTCTCATCTGTGAAATCAGGATGATTTTTACTTTTGTCCCTGTGATTGGATCATTCTGTGAATAGATAATGCAAACAGTTATGCAGGAGACTACTAACTGAAAGGTTGGTGGTTCAGACCCACCCAGAGGCATCTCAGAAGGAAGGGATGGGTTACATGTTTCAAAGGTCATAGCCATAACAGCTGTACAGAGTGCAGTTCTATTCTGCAACATATGGTGTTAGTCATAAGTCAGAATCAGCTCAAAGGCAACTGTTTTTTCAAATAATGTAACTATGGGAAAACACGTTGCTAATGGAAGTATACTATTCTAATATGAATCATTATTTAACAATCTATATTTTTGTGTGTTTTCTTTGTTGTCTATGTGGGGTGTTTTTTTTCTTTTTTTTTTTTTTGGTAGAATTTTCTTGGGTGCATATGTTTAAATGTCTTTCAGTATCTCTTTTACCCATATGTGTTTCTTTTACACTACCATATGATCATCATTCTCCATGTCTTTTCAAGTTGAGCATGGTACAAAATTTAATATTTGAAAGCAGTTTTAATATTTAGACTAAAGGGCTTTATGTTGTTGGTTATTAATTACAAAACAAATGAATGGAAACACACATGTTTCATTTAAAGCCAAAATACCAAACCAAAGAAAAACCCATTGAGTTACTTTTTCTTCATGTAGCTCTTCAATGATTTTTACCAACTTTTGAGGGAAGAGGTTCAGTTACTCTCATGAGAAACAGATTGTGCCATATTGGACTAAGTTATATTAACCCATTCATGACCTATGGGAGGGACATACAGCACCCACCTACATTTTCCTCCTCTGGTGTTTGTTGGGAAGCTGCTTTCCCACTGAAAGTGCATGTAGCTGCCAGGAGGGGTTCTGTATAATTGTTTGAAACTGAGGAAAGGGTACGTGTGGCAAATTACTGTTTTTACAGGGTATTGTATGAGGTGGTGCATCTTAGAGGTGTGATTTTGCAAAACTTAGGTCTTTTAGCTTTTTTACTGTGAGATAAATCTTGTATTCCTGGATTCCTGTGTGTTACTTAGAAGTTGTCTTTCTTGTGATTATTCCATGTCTGCATAAATACTATATTTTCAGGATCCCTAAATTGTAGGAGCTCTGGTAGCATAGTGCCTAAGGTACTTGACTGCTAACCAGAAGGCTGGTGGTTCAAACTCACCAGCCTCTCCTTGGAAGGAAGGTTGGGCAATCTACTTCCATAGTGATTCTGCCTCAGAAACCCAAGGAGGGGTTGCTGAGAGTCAGGTCCGACTTGATAGCACATAACAACAACAAATTGTATGAACCTGTCAAGAATCTAAAAGGCATTGCCAAGCCCAGAGGGACATATATGTCCCATATAATCCTACCCCAGATTTGATATATATATATATATATATATATATATATATATATATATATATATAAAATGTATCATATATATAATGTATTATATGTATGATACAATATATATTCCATATAATATATATCAAAGGAGCTCTGGTGGCATAGTGCCTAAGGCATTTGACTGCTAACCAGAAGGTTGGTGGTCAAGCCCACCAGCCACTCCGTGGAAGGAAGACTGGACAATCTACTTTTGTAGAGATACCACCTTGGAAACCTAATGGGGGGTGCTGTGAGTCAGATTCTACTGGATGGCAGTGTATTTGATTTTTGTTTAGAATAGAGATAGGGAGCACTGTGTAATTCTGTGGCATCACTGGATTACACAAATGGGTACGTGCTTGACTACTAACCAAAAGGAATCTACCCAGAGGCACCTTGGAAAAAGTCCTGGCAATCTACTTCTGAAAGATCACAGTCATTGCAAACCCTTGTGGAGTGGTTCTACTCTGTAATACATGGGGTTGCTATTACTCAGAATCTATTCAATAACAACTGGTAATTGGTATAATTCTGTACCTGGAAATATTTCCTTTTTGGTTCAATGCAGATTTCATCTTTATTTGAAATATTTTATTGTGCAATACAAGTTACTTAACTGGAATAGCCTTTTATGAATTAAATTTCTCATGTAGGATATTTGAAAGCAAAAGCTTTAAACTGAGTGACCAGTTCTTGGTAACACTTATGTAATGTTGACTGTATATTGAGTATTATTATTTCATACTGTTGTTGTTGTTGTTGTTGCTATGTGTTGTTGAATCACACCCTACTCATAGCAACCCCTCCTTGGGTTTCTGAGGCAGTATCACTACAGAAGTAGATTGCCCAACCTTCCTTCCAAGAAGTGGCTGGTGGATTTTGAACCACCAGCCTTCTGGTTAACAGTCAAGTGCCTTAGGCACTATGCTACCAGAGCTCCTTGTTTCATACTAAATAATCTTATCCTTCTGTTCTGGTTACCTAGTGCCTCTCTGACAAGAATATACCATAAATGGGATACTTAAGCAAACAGGAGTTTATTCTCTTACAGTTTGGAGGCTTCCAGTCTGAGTTCAAAGTGCCAGACTCTAGGGGCTGTATGAAAGCCCCTCAGCCTTGGGCTTCAGCTCTGCCTCTGCCTCCTAGCCCACTGAAGCTAGAGGCATCTCTTCACTCAGGCAGCCACTGGCTGCTAAGGCTACTAAGTCCAAGGTCAACAAAATAAAATGGCACAGTCCCGATGTTACCAAACCACACAGCAGGCCATTAATTCAAGTCCATTGAAGTCCGAAGGTCAGCAGAGCATGGCAGGCTGCTGAGCAATGACACGGCTACATGTAGGATCTAAGCATGCCATAAGCTAGAGACTATCCCTAAGGCTTCTCCTTATGTACAGGAAGCAGACCACATCCCAAAAGCAGCTACTCAGCTGCTTGTGGTAGGTCCCACCATGGAGTTATTCACTAGTCTCATCATGGTCAATAACTACCACCAGCTGCCCAACCACTCAACCAGACCCAACCAAGTTGACATACAAATTTAACTACCACAATTCCACCCCTTGTCAACTTGGCACCTGTACAGATCTTCATTGGTGGCATCTGTACAGATTTCTCTCACTAGGTGGCTCCAGTCCCCTAGTTCCTCTAAATAGTGACCTCACCCCCTTGGCCTGGCAGGCCCGGTTCCTCTCCCTCTTGGGCATGGCAGCCTTTCCCCTCTCTCTTGCGCAGCAGCTATGGCTCCATCCCACTGGCTCACATGAATGCGCAGCTCCACACTCCAGAACCAAATTGGTGAAGGTCTAACTCTTTGAAACCTAGGGGGCTATGATGGTTCCACCCGCAAAGGCCATGGTCCTACCCTTTGAGACTGAGGCAGCTCTGCTTCACGTTTCCTTAGTCTCTCTGCTTCTGCCAATTAATGCCCGAGGGCAACCCACTCTGCCAGGAAACCTCCTACCCAATGGTACCAGCTTTCTCTTCCGTGGGCTAGTAAGCCTGTTGCTGTTTAATCCCAGTCTCTGGGCTCTGCTACTGTCGTCTTTCATGCTGGTCTCTCTGCCGGTATCTTTGCCAGTCTCTTGGCTCTGCTCCTGCCGTATCTCATGCTGTATGCTGGGGTCTCTCTGCCAAGGTCTCGGGTCAAGGACACATTCCACTCCTGTTTCCACATTTTAGATATCTGTCAGAGCAGCACCCCTCTCTCTTGGTACCGTATTCTGTTCTGGTTACCTAGTGCTGCTCTGACAAGAATATACCACAAATGGGGTGGCTGAACAAACAGGAGTTTATTCTCTTACAATTTGGAGGCTTTAAGTCCAAGTTCAAAGTGCCAGGCTCTAGGGGCTATGTGAAAACCCCTCGACCTTGGGCTTCAGCTCTGCCTCTTGCTCCTAGCCCACTCACACTAGAGGCATCTCTTCACTCAGGCAGCTACTGGCTACCGAGGCTAACAAGGCCAAGGTCAACAAATAAAATGGCACAGTCCCAATGTTACCAAACCACACAGTAGGCCACTAATTTAAGTCCATTGAAAGTCCCAAGGTCGGCAGAGCATGGCAGGCTGCTGAACAATGACTCAGCTACATACAGGGTTCAAGCATGTCATAAACTAGGACTATCCCTAATGCTTCTCCTTATGGATGCATCCCAAAGGCATCTACTCAACTGCTTGTGGTAGATCCCACCATGGAGTTGATTGCCATTCTCATCATGGAGAATAACTACCAACAGTTGCCCAGCCACTCAACCAGGCCCAG